GTCATAAACAATTACAATATTCAAATCCGAAACTTGAAAAAAAAACGGTGAATAATGTCGCTAAAATCATCAAAATACCGAATACCGGGAGGTACCGTTATATGGGGGCCATACCAAAACTTGGCCCTGCTCAGACAATTTTCTGTCATAGGCTGTAGAATCCATTACGAACTTCAAATACCAAATTTGAAACCATTCCGGTGAATAATATCATTAAAATCGTCAAAATACTGAATACCGGGAGGTACCGTTATATGGAGCCATACCAAAACTTGGACCTGCTCAGACAATTTTCTGTCATAGGCTGTAGTATTCATGACGAACTTTAAATACCAAATTTAAAACAATTCCGGTGAATAATGTCGCTAAAATCATGAAAATACCGAATATTGGGAGGTACCGTTATATGGGGACTATACGAAGACGTAGGCTTGCACAGACAATTTTCTGTCATAGGCAGTGGAATCCATTATGAAATTCAAATACAACATTTGAAACAATTCCGGTGTATACACGGAAAGAAAAAGCTTCATACCATAAATGAAATCCTACGTTCCGTCAATGAAATTTGTTATTGATTTTGAACCAACGTAGAGGTTCATTGAATAAATGAAAAAAGTTTCATTGAGTTTCATTAATGTAAAATTAACGAAATTGTTCATTAATATAACTAAAATTCTTCCTTGATTCAGTGAAATGAAAATGGTGGAGAATATTAAAATTTCGGTCCGGCCGAATGTCGCTAAATTATCAAAATACAGAATATCGGGGGGTTCCGTTACATGGGGATTTTACGAAGACGTGGATCTGCACACACAATTTTCTCTTTAAGACTTTAGTATCCATTTCGAACTTTAAATACCAAATTTGAAGCAATTCTGGTGAATAATGTCGCTTAAATCACACAAATGCCGAAAAAAGCGAGGTACCATTATATGGGGCTATACCAAAACGTGGACCTACATAACCCATTTTCAATACCAAAAGTCCTGCAGACCTATTATATATATGAGTAAAATTTGTCAACCTACTTCATTTCGTTCAAAAGCTAAGGTGATTTCCACAGACGGATAGATGGACGGACATGGCTTAATCGGCATAGAATTGTATGCTATTAGATTTTAGGCCTATATTAAAACTAGCACTAATTTCTCCAATATTTAAACATGACTTTGACATAAAATAGCTCGGAGTTTACTTTATATAAAAATCGTATTTCATATAAGTTATCAATCAATTGCAAAAATGCGTACAACAGAAGCATAAAAAACTCTCAATAAATATTCCAGTAGTTTTATAGGAAATAAAATACTTCAATACCAAATTTGTTTTTATCATTTTTCGAACAGTGTTTAATATTTCCTGAACCAACTAAAGTTAGTGCAACATACTAGCGATAACATGGTGATACATCATGAAAGCCTAAATAACTCTATAATTCAAAAAAAAAATAAACATAAAAAATTCAATATTTTTATCGCTTCCCCTCCATATAACTATGTCAATGTAAACGCTGACGACGCTTAAAGGCCAATGAACAAAAATTGAGTAAATGAATTTTGAGATGAATTTTGAAATTTAATTTATTTTATTTTTGCAATTACAATTGTAGTTTATTTCTATAATGTCATTTGATAAGAACAGTAATTAATTTTGCAATAAAAATCTATAAAATTGATAATTAACTGATAGTTGTACTGATGAATTGAAAATTAAACATAAAATAAATCAAATAAACCGGTATGCAATCATGAAATGAGAGAGGAATTATTATTTCTGCAGGGTGTTCAGAAGGGAAATTGGGACTCAATAGTGGAATTATTTTTGAAGTAGTTCTACAACAACTTTTGAAACAAGTTCTCTCTTTTAGTCCATATATATCTTTGCAAAAAACTTGGAAGATATATAAGCCGAATAATTATTGGGTTATTCCTTACAATTAACTTATTTTACTCATTACCAAGTAATGTGTAACGTCGACATAAAGTGTTCAAAACATGGAATACAATAGAGCGAATATTTTTTACTTATTTGTCGAATTATTTGGGACAAGCTACTTATTTAATGCCACCTTCCATGGTAAACATAATGGATTAGTTGAGAGAAGATGACGAAAAATCTGCTAGAGTGGGGAACGATATTTTTGAAAAATCGTACTAAAGTATCCAAAACTTAAAATTACAATAAAAGTTGAGATAATAAACAAGTAAAAAAAATACTAGGGAACTATATATTTTTATATCCTGTTGTTGCAAAATGGTCAGGCTTTATCCCTTTATTATTGTTTTTATAAAAACAACGTTTGTTTATTAGTGGAGAACGATGGTATTAAAATGGTAAAGACTTTCCAAACGAATTTTAGTATATTTAATTTTTTGGTTCCTCTTCTATTGAGCTTACGATCTCGTCACTTGGGTAAAAAATGTTTTTTGTCATAGAAGTTATTTTTCTGGGGAGAATATCCCAGACAAAAAAAGGGAACTGATGAGGGTTGGTGGCTCTTTCCGAAACCTAGGTATTCCCTGCCTTTACCCCTGGTAAACATTACCATCGTTCTCCACTAATAAACAAACGTTGTTTTTATAAAAACAATAATAAAGGGATAAAGCCTGACCATTTTGCAACAACAAAATACTACGGTATCCCGAACAAACAAGCCAACACTGTTCTATTTTTATATCCTCCAAAATACATGGTATGGAGGGTATATTAAGTTCGTCATTCCGTTTGTACGTTTTGGCCGTATCAAACTATATATACAGGGTGAGATAAAAAAACTGCAACAAAGTTAAACGCCATTGTTTTTATATATATAATTTTTTTTTAATTTTATTGAAAGAAAGCAAAAAATGTCGGAAATAGCATCAAATTTTAGAATAAGTTTAGATTTGTTCGAATTGGTCACCTTTGGCATAAACTGTGGCCTTCAAACTTCCAATAAAACCGTCACATGCTGCCCCAATTTGCCCGACACTTTGGTATTTTTTAGTGCCAACCTTGCTTTCCAAAATACTCCAGACACAATAGTCCAACGGATAGGTATCCGGAGATTTTGGTGGCCATTGTGTGCTGGAAATGAAGCGAGGAACCTCATTTTGGAATGTCCAAGGTCTGCGGCCAAAATGTTTGCGTGTCCAAGGCTTTAATACAACCTCCAGAATATTTTCGCGATAATATTCGGCATTTATTCAAATAAATCCTCTTTAATTAGGTTAACCCTGCTAAAATTTCTAACGTAAACATGGCATCAGTTTATTTAAAAAAATGTGTGGATTTGTAAAAAATATTTTTAAAGCTTAATATCTTGGGTTTTTTCAAAATTGTTTTTTGTAGATTTGTAAAAAATATTTCTAAAGGCTTTTTCAATATTTATACCCTACAACACTATGTGTTGGGGGTATTATAAGTTTGATTGCGCCACAAATTATGTAACACCTCGAAACGTTGATTTCCCACATAGGAAAGTATATATGGATCTTCCTATCTCGCCGAGCTGAGTCGATCTAGCTATGTATGTCCGTCCGTCCGTCTGTCCATGTTAATTTGTAATCACTCTACAGGTCGCAATTATGGCCCGATCTTCACGAAATTTAAAATGGAGGTGAGGCTAGAGCCAGAATAGAACCCTATTTCTTTTGGAGATGATCGCACAATGTTTAGGGTTTGAAATGGACCAAAAAATTTGAATTTTCCTGATTTTACAGTTGCTCTACAGGTCGCAATTATAAACCCATCGACCCGGAAGTTAGCATGGCGCTAGAGATTAGGGCTGGGTAGAAGCCTTCCAATTTTAATGTTCATCGGATAATATTTAGTGGGTGAAATAGATCATAACATTTCTGTTAAATAAAAGTCAAATTTTCCATTAAACCGCAAATATTTTTAATCCCGGCGAAGTCGCAAATAGACGAACAGGTCAATTCTGACCGTTACATAGATTTCGATAGTAAATATATCGGATATATATAGCGAAATATATGCAATGTATATATACAACGGAAGGGGATGTTAGCTAGAATCCTTATATCTCAAGAACGGCTGGACCGATTTTGACATTTTTTTTCAATTCAGAATGCCCTCTTGGCATAAAGGATCAAAATCTTAAAAGGTCGCATAAAATTATGCCAATAATAACGTTAATATAGATTTTGTACTATTTTGTGACATTTTTTTTATTTTTTTTTTTTATATTTTTTATCGCATGCGATTTTTTATTTTGACTTATAATATTGAAGTCTATATTTTGTAATATTTTTTCTTATTTTTTGGGGTTGGGCTCAGAAGGGCTAGGCCTATTGCTTTCAAAGATGTCCGCTATATATTTGGGGGTTGAAATGGACCACTTTTGTGTGAAAAAAATGATCACACAATTGAAGCCAATTGACATGCCTGAGAAGTGAGTTAAAGACAGGGAAAAATTCTGGCATTTTGGATGACCATTGGATTATATTAAGTTGTAAAATGGACCACAACAACTAACAGCACGACTGATTGTCTTTGGTTAAAATGCTAAGGCAATATCTGGGCAGCGTTCGTGACATAATTTTAAAAGCGAAATCTTCCAAAATGGATGTGTACATAAGAGGGGCTTCTAACATATTGTAGTGTTGGTCATGGTCGGCCCTGCACGACTATAGCCTTTGCTCACTTGTTTTTTCATAGATTTTTCAATATTTTTAATGACTATTAATAAATTGTGGGTTGATTTAAAAATATTTTTCGAAGCTTCATAAATAGCGATTTAAAAAGAAAAATTAATATGAAATCTTTTTTAGGATAATTTTGACAAAAAATCGTAATCGTGTATTTTCAAAATTTTTTATTAAAAATATAAGATCTTCTTTTGGAAAAAATACCCTCTATCTTGCGGTGGTGGTAAATATTTGTGGAAACTTTTTATTTTAGATTTTTAGGCCTAAGAGTTGGCCAAACTTTTTAACATACATTTTTGCAGTATATACATACCTCGCTTTCTTCCAGAAAATAACGACTTCATAAAATTCAAGTTTAACGCCAATTGGTTATTTATTTATCATTTATTTTATTTTCATTCATGTCTTTTGGGACACCCTGTATAAAATAAATAACTTAAAATTAATAAAACAAACAAAAAAAAATAAAAATAATAACAATAATTACATTAATAACTACTCTATGAAATGAGTCCACAAGGAAACATTTTCTATGCGGTTTGGATGCGTGAGAATTCAGTTAAGGAAAAGAGAAAAATCCCTGAGCCGATAAAACAAGCAGAACCATTCGAGATGTATTTATTTTAACCAAAAAGTTTCCTTGTGTCTCATATTCAATTTTCTAATATTCGTACTACAACTAAAAAAATAAAACAAAAACTAATGAGGATGGAGGGTTATGAAGATTGGCGCCCAATTGTTTCCATAACAGTAAGAATATCAATAATCAAATATTTTTTTTTAAATTGTGTAAAAGAAAAATATAGTTTCGGGGAAAAAGGAGAGGTACACAAAGAAAGTACCATTTTTTCTTCGTTCGTATTCCGCGTTTTTACTTTAATAAAATTTTAAAATGCTTTTGATCATCTTCTTCGTACTCTCAAAAAAATTCTTTTAGAAAATTTTCAAAAATAGCTTCAAAATTTTTCATTACTGCGTTTGTATAAAAATCCAAGTATGTTACGACATATATGCCCATCTTCATGAATAGAACCCTCCACCCTCACATATCTACAACTATTTACGTAAATAAATTAAATATATATAATCTTTAACATATTTTATATAATTACAATTTTCAAATTTCTCAAATCATAACATATACATGTTCTTTTTTGGCATCGAGCTGTTTATTTACAAGCTACAGAATAAAATCTCTAACAAAAAATAACATTATAAAAAAATAAATTCTTTTTCATTTACAACTAATCTCTAAAATATTAAAAAAATAACAATAACCCCAATTTTTCACAGTTTCCAACACTCCCTTATTTATTATCCAACCATGATTGAATTTGTGATGAACTCTTGCCCTTTGTCTCCAGCACCATAAAGGCCACATACATTGTGGCCACAAACATACAAAAGGCAAAGAACCAAAATGTCATATCCGAACCCCAGGCTGTGATCATGGAACCGAATGTCTTCGTTACCAAAAATACCGAAAACCAATTTGACATTACCGTCAAGGCCACTGCCGTAGCCTTGACATCGGGCAGAAAAAGTTCACCCATCATCAGCCAGGGTATGGGACCATAGCCCACTGAAAATGTAATCATATACAATACCACACACAGCAAAGGTAGCCATCCAATGGAGGAGACGTCTTTGCCATCGTCTTTCATATCGAAATAGGCACCCAAAATTGCCAAACAAATCGTCATGATGGTACTACTAAATATCAGCAGTGACTTGCGTCCAGCTTTCTCAATCATCAGCGAAGAGGTGAATGTCATCACAACTTGTACAAAGCCCACAATGATGGAACATATCGAAGGATCCAATGTACTGCCGGCAGATTTGAAAATTGGCACGGTGTAGAAAATGACAGCATTCACTCCGGAGAATTGTTGGAAGAACATCAAGAGCATGGAAATAATTAAACCATTGCGAGCCGCCCGTATACGGAAGACATCGGAGAATGAAGCATTTCCGCCGGCTTGATCCAATTCACTTTGTATCTGTTGGATGGCTGTGCGTGAATCACAATAACGACCCCAAAGCCATTTCAATGAGAGAGCGGCGTCACCACGGCGACCCTGAAAGTAGAAGAGGAGACAGGGTATTATTTGCTCTCATTCTCACTCGGGAGCGAAACTTGCTCGAAGAGTGAGAGTTTTTTACGGAGTCTACTCTTCATTCAAGAGGCTGTTCTAAGAGTGTAAATTAGAAGAAATACTAAAGAATGTTCGGCAAACCCTTTAAATAGCGCTTGGCAAGAGTAGCACCTGCTCGATTTTGAACGAATTTTGCTCCCACTCAAAAACAAAGAAAAAATGCTCACTCATATTCGAGCAAAAATCAAAAATTAAGTTTGCTCGATTTCCAATCTGCTCTCTGGAACCCAATCGGTCGAAGTCGAGTGAGTTTTTCGGAGGTCTGGTTATATAACAGTTTCAAGTGAAGTATTTCATGGCAAAATTCGGTCATAATCGTATAAAAATACAATTTAAATATCTTCTTACCTTCTTCAATAGATATGTTGGTGTCTCTGGCAAGAACAACATTCCAATGAACAAAGCCACCGGTACCAAAAGACACAGAACACTTAATGTTGTCCATGTGACCATAGCACCAATAATGTAAACCAATAGAATTCCAATGGACAGTGTCAGCTGGAACAGAGTACCCAATGTGCCTCTTATACTACTTTCAGCAATTTCCGATATATACATGGGAGCAACAACACAAAAACTGCCAGTAGCCAAGCCTGGAACATCAAAAGGATTTATTTATAAGTGAATAACTTATTTATATTTCGAAAATCCTACCAATTGTAAAACGAGCAAAATATAGGACCGTCGCGGAGTTGGCAAAAATAGTTGCCGTCCAGGCCACAATAAATGGGATATCCATTACCAATGCGGTGTAACGACGTCCAATGTAGTCAGCAATATAACCTAGAGCAAACATCTTTTAATTTCTGGTATAAAATTCGGAAAATAAGTTTTATCTTACCTGTGGGTAAAGCTCCCAGAAACGCACCAATAGCCAATAAGGAACTAACCCAGGTCTCTGCAAATAAATAATAAAAAAAGAAATAATAAAAACATATAGTACAAGCGAGAGCCGGAAAAGTCCTCCTTAAAATTTTAGATTCATTCCAAAAATTCGCTGTTAAATTACATAGTTTGTTTATTTTAACAAAATTTTTAAATCAATACGTCTCAACATTTTTAGACTTAAATTTCAGATTTCTTAAAGTTTCAGAATTCTATCTCTATAATTTCATCAAATACCAAATTTAGTACAATAATTTTTTTTCGTACAAGTATAGTACACATTTCCAAAACGACATCCATATCTCAATCCCAGATACCAACAGAGACCTCAATATCAAAAGTCAGGATTCCATCACTATCCCTTCACCCAATACCCAATTTAGTACCACTTGGCACTTTTCAAACAATTATAGTACCCATTTCCAAAACCACCTCCATATCTCAATCCCTGTTACATCAAATGTGAGGATTTCAGCACTATCCCTTCACTCACACTTCATTTACTTTTCGTGCACTTGTAATACACCATTCTAGAACCACCACTTTATCACAAACCTACCACCAATAGTGACCCCAATACTAAATTTCTAAATTCCAGCTTCATCCGTTCGTTCTAAACCAAGCTATTTCAAATTTAGTGCCATTAAGTACAGTTCACAAACTTAGTACCCATTTACAAAACCACATTCATACATAAAAAAGTAGTTTCCTACCTCAATTCTTATGCCATATACCCATTTTTAGCTCTTCGCATAATACCAAATGGTACCATTTTAGAACTTTTCATAACCTTAAAGTTCGAATTTTCAAAAACCCTTCGGTACACCTATCTTGCACTCCATTAAGGGCTAAGTACATAAGAAGCTTGAAGTCATGGCTTGGCGTATTTTGTGACATTTCACAAAGGAATTACAGAGCCGCACTAAAATCCAGCCGTCGTTTTTCCATTATAATTTGACATTAATATGCCTAGCCATGACTTCAAGCTTCTTATGTACTTAGCCCTTTAAAGAATCTAATTCCAAATTTCAGAATTATGCCTCATTCCGTTTGTCCGATACAAAGTATTCAATTTTTAGTATATTTTAGTACTTTTCACATCTTTTTAGTACGACAGTCAGTCGCTTACTTTACTCTTTTTATACCCTCCACCTTGGAAAGGAGGGTATATTAACTTTATCATTCCGTTTGTAACATCCTTAAATATTCGTCTTAGACCCCATAAAGTATATATATTTATAATCAGCATAAAATTCTAAGTCGATTTAACGATGTCCGTCTGTCTGTCTGTCTGTTGAAATCACGATACAGCCCACATTATTTGACGTAGAGCGTCCGTCTGTCTGTTGAAATCACGATACAGCCCACATTTTTTGACGCAGAGCGCCAAAATTTATCAGAGCAATTTGCATTGTGTCTAGGATGGTTGGTATTGAAAATGAGATTGGTGAGATGAGATCGGTCCACGTTCTGGTATAGTCCCCATATAACGGTACCTTCCGATATTCGGTATTTTGAGGGTTTTTGCCACATTTTTCACTGATTTGTCTAAAAATTGGTATTTGTGGGTCATAATGGGTCCTAGTTCGTGTGGCGAAACATTGTAATTATAGGTCTACGTTTTAGTGTAGCCCCCATATAACAGTACCTCCCGATATTCGGCATTTAAATGGTTTTTGCCACATTTCTTCTGTTTCTTTTACCCTAAGGTGGAGGGTATTAAAAGTTTGGCCCGGCCGAACTTAATGTTTTTTTACTTGTTTTAATATAGATAGGTAAGGAATAGTCTTGGCTTCTGGGCGCATTTCAAGAAAAAACTTTTTTATACCCTCCACCATAGCATGGAGGGTATATAAAGTTTGTCATTCATTTTGTAACTCCTCGAAGTATATATTTATCAGCATAAAATTCTATGTCGATTAAGCGATGTCCGTCCGTTTGTTCATCTGTGGAAATCACTCTAGCTTCCGAACGAAATTAAGAAGGTTAATAAAATTTTACTCAAATGTGTATTATGTTTGCAGGACTTTTGGTTTTAAAAATGGGCCATGTAGGTCGACGTCTTCGTATAGCCCCCATATATTCGATATTTTCATGATTTGAGCGACATTATTCACCGAAATTGTTTTAAATTTGGTATTTCAAGTTATTATTATTATTATTATTATTATTATTATTATTATTATTATTATTATTATTATTATTATTATTATTATTATTATTATTATTATTATTATTATTATTATTATTATTATTATTATTATTATTATTATTATTATTATTATTATTATTATTATTATTATTATTATTATTATTATTATTATTATTATTATTATTATTATTATTATTATTATTATTATTATTATTATTATTATTATTATTATTGCTATTTATTATTGCTATTTATTTATTTATTTATTTATTTTTTTATTATCTTTTTTTTTATTTATTTATTTATTTATTTTTTTTTTTTTTTGAAAATTGCCAAATTCCTTCCAAGTGGTGCTTTTTTACTTGATAATTATTGTTTTTTGAGTATTCCTCTTGACCACAATGTATTGATAACTTTAAAAATTAATTCATATATTTTCTTTGATGGCTATATCCCAACACATTTACGCATTCGAGTGCAAGTCAAATATCAACTACTCCAAAAGTTATATATTATTAACGTCACAAGATAGTTTATATTGACTATGTCGTGTTTACCTTTCTTCGACCCATTTTTACTCTTCTTAGAATCAATATCTATAAAAGAGGAAAATGTTTGTATGTTTGTTTGTAATTTATGGACTCGAAAACCGCTGAACAGATTTTCCTGAATATTTCCAAGTATACTAGAACATCGCCTGAAACATAGGCTATAAAAATTTTTGAAATTCCACTTGGAACTGGAAATATGGCATCAGAATCGGAGGTACCTCCCAAAAATTTAAATTTTATATGCACATATCTATTGATCGATTACAGATACAGTCTCCAAATTTGGAATGGGTAACGGAATTTGGAACAAAAGTAATTGTGCCAAATTATATTGAAATCGGTTCAGATTTGGATATAGCTCCCACATATATTTTCGGCCGATTTCGTTTATTTGATGCACCAAACACGATACGTATGTCCGATTCCAATGAAATTTATATTTTCGACCGATTTCGTTTGTTTGATGCAAAAAGCACGTTATACATGCTCGATTCCAATGAAATTTGGCAATGAAATTATATTGAAATCGGTTCAGATTTGGATATAGCTCCCATATATATTTTCGGCCAATTTTACGTACAGGATTGCCCATATTCGACGGACCCATCTGGCAACGCCATAATTTTTGACAGAGATGTCACATCGCTTAATGACATACCGCGTTTGAAGCGTCAGTCCAAGCAGATTTTTATCATGAACCAATACACGCCACGCGAGCGCTCTGAAATTTACATTCAACAGAAGAAGTCAATTTTGAAAACTCAACGTGCTTTTAAAACATTAAAAAATGTGAGAAGTGCGCCTTCTAAGAACACCATTAAGGGTTTATATAAAAAATTTTCGACTGGTAAGGCTCTTTCTAATCCGAAGAGGCCATATAAAAGTCGACCAAGGCGATCGGCCGAGAATATCGCTGCCGTACGAGCCAGTGTTGAGAGGTCCCCAAGAACATCCCAAAAACGCCGTTGTCAGCAGTTGGGCATGGTTCGGTCCACTTTACAACGGATTATTCGCATTGATTCGCATTCGTTCCCGTACAAAATTCAATTGACGCAAAGAATGTTGCCTGCGGACAAGCCTCGTCGATTGGAATGGACCCAAAGGTCCGTCGAATATGGGTAATATTTGATGCACGCCACTCGATATGATTGTCCGATTCCAATGAGATTCAGAAAGAGACACGAAATTTGGTACCAAAACAAAATTTGCCAAATTATATTGAAATCGGTTTAGGTTTGGCATAGCTCCAACATATATGTTTCGGCCGAAAACATGTATGTTACGTACCAAACACGATATGTTCGGACATATGAAATTTAGAATGTGTGGCGGAATTTGGTTACAATAATAAATTTGACAAATTAATAAGAAATTGGTTATGATTTGGATATAGCTCCCAAATATATTCTCGGCCAATTTACATATTTGATGCACCGAAGACGGTATGTACCTCCAATTTCAATTAAATATGCAAGGTGTGACGGAATTTGGTGTAAAATTAATTTTTTTTAAATTTTATTGAAATCTGTTTAGATTGGAATATGGTTTTATTGACCCCAACACCTTTCCATTGCTAAGATTATTACGGGGAAGCATGTTGCTGCTAATGGAAATATTGAAATGTACTAAGTCTGAATGGAACCGGATGTTAATTTCACGTTTTTAAGAGCGTCATGTATATTCAAAATTGTGAGCCATTTTGGGGGAGGTACCAGAAGGAGTGGACCGATATATTATATCTTAACACCAGATCTTGAGCTTATAAAAATATTGGGATGTGAGAAATTTGAAGACAATTTTGACCCTTTGTGAGGGAGGTACTTGATGGAGTGAACCGATATTGTCCACTTTCGCACCTGACCTAGCACTGCCGCAAATATTAGGATTTGCAAAGTCAGAGCAAAATCGGATTATCGTTCCTCTTTGTGTGCAGAAAATATATTTTTTGAAAATTTCGACCTTTTGTGGGGGGGTGGTACCAGAAGGGGTGTACCGATGCTGCCCATCTCCGAACTCGATTTAAGTTTGACAAAAATATTACGATGGAAAAAGTTGAAAACAAATCGGTTACTCCCTTATAGAGTTATCGTGCGCACCAGCCAGACAGATAGACGGACGGACGGACATCGCTAGATCAACTTCAAATGTCCTGAGACGGATTTTGTCCAAAGAGACCTAGTGTCTAAAACCGTTATGTCGACTAGGTACGTTTTTTTGCTTGCAATTAAAGTTTAGTGCCAGACAGAAGCATATTTGACAATTTGGATGGTTATCGGACAATATTAAGCGGATAGAATAGACCATAAATTTTATGTAAAACAAGTAAAAAAACATTAAGTTCGGCCGGGCCAAACTTTTAATACCCTCCACCTTAGGGTAAAAGAAACATTAGAAGAAATGTGGCAAAAACCATTAAAATGCCGAATATCGGGAGGTACCGTTATATGGGGGCTACACCAAAACGTGGACCTACACATGCAATGTTTCGCCATACGAACTAGGACCTACTATGACCCACAAATACCAATTTTTAGACAAATCAGTGAAAAAATGTGGCAAAAACCATGAAAATACCGAATATCGGGAGGTACCGTTATATGGGGGCTATACCAAATCATGAACCCATACATGCAATGTTTCGCCACCGGAGCTGGAACCCATTATGACCAACAAATACCAATTTTCAGACAAATCCGTGAAAAAATGTGGCAAAAAAAAAACTAAAATACCGAATATCGGGAGGTACCTTTATATGGGGGCTATACCACAACGTGGACCTATACATGCAATGTTTTGCCACACGCTTAGGGACCCGTTATGACCTACAAATACCAATTTTCAGACAAATCCGTAAAAAAATGTGGCATAAATCATCAAAATACCGAATATCGGAAGGTACCGTTATATGGGGACTGTACCAGAACGTGGGCCGATATGTCTCATTTTCAATACCAACCATCCTAGACACAATGCAAATAGCTCTGCTAAATTTTGGCGCTCTACCTCAAATAATGTGGGCTGTATCGTGATTTCAACAGACAGACAGACGGACATAGTTAATCGACTTAGAATTTTATGCTGATTATAAATATATACACTTTATGGGGTCTAAGACGAATATTTAAGGATGTTACAAACGGAATAACAAAGTTAATATACCCTCCTTTCCAAGGTAGAGGGTATAAAAAAACGATCAACGGATTATATTTAATGGATAATATACCACAAATTTCGTTTGAAATGGTTTTGAATATCTATCAGCACGGCAGAGAGGGTAAGTATAGTGCAAGTGCACCCGGTCAAAAACAAACGTAACATTTACGCAGGGCGGTACGGCATTATTTCAAAAACCAAAACAACCAAAATGGATTTGAATCTATGAGGCTTTCAACATATAATAGTGTTGTAGGGTAGCACATGGTCGACCCCGCACGACTATAGCCTTTGCTAACTTGTTTTCTATGTAAACTTTCATATCGCTGATTAGGCTCGGCTTTCATAATCTACTGATTTTTTTTTTTTTTTGTAATTTTGTTGCACAGTATTATAGGGAAAATTTAACATCCAATTCACATACACAACTCCTAGAAGCAATCCTTCCCTCGAATGGTGGAAACTGAGGATAAATATTCTACACGCGCTACTTTTTCATCTATGGTACAAAACGATAATAGCCATAAGGTTTCTCCAAGTGACCACTTGCTTGTTGCACACACACACACACACACATCTAAACAATCAACTTCAAACGTTCTAATCATACAACTCATCACTGCTAGATTGCACTTCAGTGGCTATCACTCATCGCGCAATTGAAGGCAACGAATGAAACGTTTCGCAATAGTCTCAAGAGTGCAAACGGTAATGGAAATGACTGCCAATGGCAATGGCAATGACAGACCACACTAATAAAAAGATTAGTTCAGGTTCAGTTGGTCAGGAAGGCGAAACCAAAATCGTAACACTATTATATGCCTTTAGCAAATTAAGGGTTGTCATCACCACCCCTTCCGAAAGCAAAAGAAGTGGAAACACCAACAATGTCAGAATATCCATAAGTATATGTATGCAATTGTGTGTGTATGTGTGTGTGTGTGTGTTTGCAATAGTTCCAAAGTAAATACGACACTTGAAACTGGCGTCAACTATCGTAATTGAATTGACCGTCAATGTTTGAATTGTTGTGATTTATTGTCAACAGTTGCACTGATTGCCAACTAATCAAGCGGCATTAGGGGAGAACCACTTGAAACGTAAATGCCTGGCGTTGAGGTGGACAATTTTATTAATCATACTTATTTCATGGAAATTCGATTGCACATGGTAAACCTTTAATATTTTTATGAAATTTTAATGTATTATTAAGCCCCCCCAACAATCAGCCACTTAAAATGGGTGTCGGGTAGGGTTTATGTCATTACTTACGCTGACTTAGTGTCAATTGCAGCTGTGACGACGACGAGCCATCAGCGGTAGCATTGTTTGCAGTGGTATTAGCATTTGGATCCTCACTAATCTGTGGCAGTACGGGGGATGTCCAAGCTAGTGCAGTACCTGCCGAAACGGCGCCCAAACACACTATGGGGAAGGGGAAAGGAGAATATAATAATTAAGAGAATGTCATGGGGGATGGTAAATGCATTACTACTTACCAACCATGGCTGCAAAATACTGCATTTTCTTTGATGTCTTGACCACCCCATCTTGCAGGGGGTCATACAGCATAGGATTCCGTGAGCTGGGGTCATTGTCTTCTTGACTGACAGTCTAAAAATAAATGAAAAAATGTTATTTCTTCAAAGAAAGGAAAACAAATAAAAAAGCTGGAAGTTCGGCCGGGCCGAACTTTTAATACCCTCCACCATTTGGTACAAATTTGACAATTTCCAAAAAAAAAAAATCCGTTAAAAATTCTGTTAAAATCTTAAATATACCGAATGCCTATACGACGACGTGGACCTACATAGGCAACTTTTGTCATAAGTTATTACAATATTTTAATGCGAAACTTGAAGAAAAATCTGTTTATAATGTAGCTAAAATCATCAAAACACCGAATATAGGGGGTATCGTTATATGGGGACTATACGAAGACGTGGACCTGCACAAACAATTTTCTGGGATGGGTTGAAGTATCCATTACGAACTTCACATGCGAAATTTGAAACAATCCCGTTAAAAAATGTCGCTAAAATTATCAAAATACCGAATTTAGGGGGGTACGGTATATGGGGGCTATACGAAGACGTGGACCTACATGACCCATTTTCTGTTTTATGCTGCAGTATGAACTTCAAATACCAAATTTGGAACGATTTCGTTAAATAATGTCGCTAAAATCATCAAAATACCGAATATCGGGGGGTACCGTTATAAAGGGGCTATACGAAGACGTGGACCTACACAGATTATTTTCTGTCTTAGGCTGTAGTATCCATTACGAACTTCAAATGCCAAATTTGAAACAATTCCGGTGAATAATGTCGCTAAAATCATCAAAATACCGAATATCGGGAGGTACCATTATATGGGGGCTATATGATAACTTAGACCTACATGGCCCATTTACGAACTTAACCTGCCTACTGGCAAAATATACATGTGTGCAAAATTTAAGCCTTCTATCTCAATTTGTTCGAAAGATAGCGTGGTTACAACAGACAGACAGACGGACAGACAGAATTTTACGCTGATCAAGAATATATATACTTTGTTGTGTCTGACATGAGTATTTCGATGAGTTACAAACGGAATTAATATACCCTCCATAGTATGGTGAAGGGTATAAAAATAATGAGTATAGAAAAAAAACTGGTAAAAAATCTCAAAATCTCATCTAAATACTTGGCAATCCACTCCGTTTAAATTCAAGGAGGCTCAGCATAGATCTACCAAAACATGATAAATAAAATTGATATTCTCCAACATAGGATTGGGGGTATTTTAAAAGTTTTATTCCATTCCTATACTCTCCACCGTACTATATGATATATCAGGGACGTGCACCTTTCCAAATATTTCCGGAGTGGGGGCTACTAGTAAAAACTAAATTTTGTCATACAAAAGCGCATAGCATTGCATAATAGTAACCATTTCGAAGGGGACCAGCCATTCAGTATTTCCACCCTCCCACCGTACGTCCCTACGTCCCCATTAACCGAAAGGTATGAATTTTACTTAATTTTTTTTTTTTAGATCCCTAGAGGATTTTTCCGAATTTCGTTTCAGGACGTTTGAAGTCCTGGCTGGCTGGCTTGATGGTGCGCACAACGACTTTCGTACAGATTATGGCTATATTATTTTTTAACCTTTGATGGGAGATAGGGAAAGTCGGTCCACTCATTCCGGTACCTCCCCCACAAAATACCAACAATTTCAAAGAAAAAAATTTACATCTAGAAAGAAAATGGCTCATACGACTTTTCTACATCTTTGGAAATCCCAATATTTGTATCAGGTGCGAAATTGGACAATATAGAATTTCTTGTACATAACTCAAAAAGGGTTAAAATTTATAACACAATAAAAAATTTAATGTTTTTTCCATAATTGCGGAGAAAATCCAGAGTAGAGCTAAAAAAAGAAGGCACGTCTATGGGCGTTTTTAAAGTCGCCTAAATAGAGAGGACAAGATCCACCCTCTTCCAAACTTTTAGACATTTTCGGATTAAGATTCTTCGGAATTCATGTATTTTATGTATACAGTATCTTCGACAATATTGCAAATACAAATTCGATAAATATTTCGGAAGAAATTTCTAACCCTCAAGTCAGTCAACAAATGGGTATTTTTGGTACTTTTTTAAAAAATGATTAAAAGGGATCGTAGCAAGTCAGAATACTCTAAAAAAATTATTTGTCATAAAATTCTACTATAGGTCCCAGAAGGCGTTACTGGTCTAAATCTTCCCTAAAAATCAGGAATTCATCTACAGGGTGAGATGAAAAGAACTACAACCAAATTCAGACTGCTGTCATTTCTAAGCCACTCGTCCAAAAGATGTTAATTTTTTTCCAGTGATAGCTCATTATATTGTTTACAAGCGTACAACAGCAATTTGGTGAGAATTTTCCAGATAAAAAGTTATTCGTGATGGAATTTAAGGGTGATAGTGTGATTTCTTTATATTTGGCTGGAAAACCAAACATTTAAATGTGCCATCACTTTTTACCTTGATACTGGTAACGTAGCCCGACGTCAAGAAATTGGACAGAAGAAAACAGCAACATCAGCAGAAATGCTTCGAGAAGTAAAGAAGCGATTTGATCGAAACCCGCGTCGCAGTGGCCGAAAAATGGCTCGTGAGCTGAACATATCGCAATATTCCATTCGGTAAATATTAAAAATTGAGCTCGGGGTAAAGCCATTGAAATTCCAAAAAGTGCAAGAAGTTACACCGCAACACCAATAGAAAGAAAATAGAATCAAAAGAGCTAAAGAGTTGCTTCGCTTGGCCGAAAGTGGTGAACTGCCGAATTTGATTTTCTCCGATGAGAAAACATTCGTTGTCCACCAGTTTGTAAACAAACAAAATGATCGTGCTTACTTGCCAAAAAGGTCAGCTGAAAATGTGCTCAGCTGAAAATGTGCTCAACTCAACTCAAGCGCTGGCCATGGTGATGGTGTGGGCCGCCATAACAGCCGATGGTCGTTCTCCGTTCGTATTAATCGAATGTGGCATTAGAATAATTGCCGAATATTATCGCGAAAATATTCTGGAGGGTGTATTAAAGCCTTGGCCACGTAAACATTTTCGACGCAGACCTTGAACATTCTAACAGGACTCAGCACCATCGTACTCAGCACGTCTTCGTATAGCCCCCATATGATAGAGATAGAAGGCAAAAATTTTGCACACATGTACTATACTTTGCCAGTAGCCCCATATAAAAGTACCTCCCTATATTCGGTATTTTGATGATTTTAGCGTCATTATTCACCGGAATTGTTTCAAATTTGGTATTTGAAGTTCGTAATGGATACTACAGCCTAAGACAGAAAATTATTTGTGCAGGTTCACGTCTTCGTATAGTCCCCATATAACGGTACCCCCGATATTCGGTACTTTGATGATTTTAGCGACATAATTTAACGGAATCGTTCCAAATTTGGTATTTGAAGTTCGTAATAGATGCTACATCCTAAGTCAAAAAATGAGCCATGTAGGTTCACGTCTTCATATAGCCCCCATGTGACGGTACCTCCCGATATTCGATATTTTCATGATCTTAGCGAAATTATTTATCGGAATTATTTCAACTTTCGTATTTGAAGTTCGTAATGGGTACTACAGTCTATGACAAACCTCTTTGTATGCACGTCTTCGTATATCCCCCATATAACGGGTTTCATTTAAGTTGTAGTTTTTTTTTTTTTGGAAATTTTTAAGTTTCTTCCAAATTGTGGAGGGTATTAAAAGTTCGACCCGGCCGAACTTAAGCCGGCCGAGGGGGAACTTGTTCCCTCTATCAAGGTTACTTTGCTATTTAAACATTCAAAATGTCGATGCAAGTGGGTTCAACATTTGTGTATTGCACAGTGTCAACCAAAGGATTAAAGAATAAAAAAAAACTAGATTTAGGACCGTTAAGTCTTTTTCCGAAATGTTTTAAATTCTTTTCGGTTTTCCGTATCAAATATACAAATAATTTTTTACTCCAAATAGAAAATTTCCATCCTTGAAAATAATGTCTCATCAACGATTGTTCATCAAATACCTCATTCTCAATTACTTAACGTCAAGAGAAAAATCACTTCCGTTTGTTATTCGAAAAAATAACTCTAGTTGGCGGTGGCATTTTTCCCCCAAATTTTCATTTAAAACTATTTCATTTGGACTTTGGACCTCCCCAAAGCATGCCAATCGATTCTAAAGTTCAAGTTTAGTAAAAAAAAGTACTAATCAAAAGCCACAACTACAACAAAATCGAAATTACAAAATAAAAAAAGAATACAATTTAGAAAAAATCTCAACAATGCACTCTAGCCAACTAAGAAACGAAGCAAACGGAACAAAAAAATAAACATTTAAAAAATTTTACCAATTTACATTAAAAGAAATGTACAAAATAAAGACAACAGCAAAAGCAACAACATAACAACTCGTCCAAATTTAGCCACATTTTGGCATACCGCACGTGCTACGTAGCTATGACTAAACGGCGCCAATGTGGGTTTGTCGCGTTGGATGATTTAGAGGGGGAAAAGGGGTAAAAATGTCAAATCTTCCTTTAACTTTTAATTTTTAGATTTTTGCTCCTCTGGGAAATATTTTCAGTTCTTATTTGTTTGAAGTAGAAACGTTTTTTTTTTTTTTTGTTTTATTTAATATTATATCTAATTAAATTTTTTTAATTTTTTCAAAATCACCTGCATGGCAATCTGCGAAGCATATTTGTCTTAAATCGGCCATATCTTAAGATTTTATTTTTATAATAATTTGGCTCCCGTCCATATACGCAATTTCACTGCAAAACAACTCAAAATTATGGTGTTTAATGGCAGTTTTGATGTAAATTACACAATGCAACAGATTCTGAGTCAAGCAATGCATAAAATATTATGAAAAAAAAAACAACATCGGACATTATTCGTTGAATATCCGAGTTGCTCTAAAATTTGGGTACGTCGCTATCAGAACCATTAACCAAATTTTTTGCATCGCAAAGTAACCTTAAAAAGAGGTAGGGTTTAAGTTCCCCCTTTTTCGAAATTAAGATTTGATTGTCGAAAATATCAACCCTCAATCGAGTGACGAAAAGCGTCT